TTTCGACATCGCAACTTCCAAAAGTGGTCCGACGCTGAGGTGTTTTGTGCATTTTGACTTGGAAATGTGCTTCGCGCCACAACGGCGTGCACATTTTTGACATCTCAACTTCCAAAAGTGGTCCGAGACCGCCAGTTTTTAACACTTTTGACTTCGAAATGTGTTTCGCACCACAACGGCGTGCAATTTTTCATCGCTCCTGTGGCCAGCTGGCTCCGCACCCGCCGCTTTAGCGAGCCTACTTTTCGACCGGAGCCCCAAATCATTGGAAAAACACAGAGTTTTGCGACTTTCCTACCTTTTCGCGCATCTGTATCTTCTGTCTTCTTACTCTTTCTCTTCTGATCTTATCTCTTCTAATCTTCCTCTTCTCTCTGCCTCTGCCCTCCTCTGCTTTTCATCTCTCCATATTGTCGGAAGTTTGACTTCTAAACTTCCTTCGATGATTATATGTATGTTTTGTTGTTCCCTCATGGATTATATATTGATCAGTAATATGATGATAGTCATGTAGACAAGTAATTTTAGATATCATAGATCCTAATAGATGATTGTAGTTGCAAATGTCTGGCCAAAATCCTACTCGTACATGGTAAGGTTCTCACTTGGATAATCCCATGGCCCGAGTCGCTGAGAGAATGCCTCCATATATGATATGTCACATATAATCTGATCTTTCATAAATCATATCATAACTATAGAAAATGATAGATCACATATCTCATGCTTATATATATATATATATAAACACGTTATATATATATATCATAAATAATCTACCGAGAGTTCATATACTCCGAACAATTATAATAAACAAATCACATACCATATCCAATGAAATATACTCAGATAGATATACCCATCCCATTCTTGCCACTTGGAGGATCATCCCACGTAGTGGGGATAACCCTGGTTAGCAAGTCCTTCGTGGCCCCATTGCCAATGGAATGGATGAACTCCAGCTACTAACCAGTTGCAGGAACCCTGGGGTGATCCTCCAAGTAATATAAACCCACTAAATCACCACTAAGATCATTGAATCACTATTAAGAGCCAGTCACTTAAATCCAGAACCATCCCATTAGATCTATCAGAATTTCCACTAAAACCATCATCTATATTATATCATTAGAATAAAAACGATAAAAAACCATTATATAAATGCCCCGAAACTGGCAGGCACTTCCAGAGCTCGAAGACTTCCCAACGGTTCTGGCGCTGAAGCGCTGCTTGGCGCGGCGCCTGCGGCTGCCGCGCTTCCGGCTGCGGGTGCTGTCCGAGAAAGGGGACGTGTGGCGTAGTGGCAGCCGAAGGGCAATTTTAGCGGGGTTTTACAGTATGTGAATTTTGTCGGATTTCAATGAACTTTTGTGGGGTTTGATGGGGATTCAACGAGGATTTAGTCTGATTTGCTGGTGATTTAATGTGGATTTAACAAGGGTTTAGTGAGGATCTAGTAGAGTTGACCACAAACAAGTGGTGTTTCATCATGAACCATCATGGGCTTAACCACTGAAAAATGGATTTTGCTGCCGCAGTTTGTTAGCTAAGTTGGTTGTATGATTGACATTGACATAAATGTTGGGTTTGTAGTGAGTCTGACTATGGCTATAGGTGGGATTATATCGATTTATGATCAAAGCTGCAACTGTGGAGCACCGCAGTTTTCAGTGGGGAAAATCGTGACGAACCATCAATGGATTCAAGGATTTGATGGTGTTTTTTTCGTGCCATTTTGACCAGTGGTTTTTGACCATCAAACACATGGGGATAGTTGATGGTTCGTTGATTCTGGGTGTTGGCCATCTGTCATTGTGATTATGTAACGGAAAGTTGGGGATACAATTGGGATAAAACATTGGGAAATAACAATTCTGAATGGGAAAGCTGTCGAAGCGTGTCGGGGGTGGATCATCGAATATGGAGCTTTACCCGGCAACATTTGTGGATGGTGGGTGTGGGTCTAGACAGCCAAGACTTTTTTTTCCACAAGTGGCATGAACATCCAGCTACCCTTCGGTAATTTGGTTAGGTAATTATGGAACATGGGCCATTTAGTTCAATGATTTACCTAGGACGAATTGTGATTTTCCATGTCGCAAACTGTTTGTTCTGTTTGGGCGAAGTTGTTTTGGTTCCGGCGCTTTGAACAATCCCCGTTTGCTTCGGAGAGATTTTGGAACCAGAGGAACCGGGGAAGGTGCTTAGATGATTGTAAGATGATTGTTGCCAAAAGATGAGGGTTGGTCTCAAACATCTAAGTTTCCTCGAAAAAAAACATCTATGATCCTGGACAAAAAATAAAACTACTGGAAACATAATTTAAGGTTCCCCTGATCCTGTGGTCTCCCCTGGTCCCTTGGTCCACTGGTCCCTGGATCCTCTTGATCCTCTGGTTCTTTACCTTCATTGGTGATCCTCTTGAAACAACCTAAATTGGTGATATATTAAAACCAGTGATGGGTAAGCCATGGCAGGCGAACGGATTGAAAAATCCATAGGATTTGGAGCCTTTTTTGATGGAGAAATAACGAGAACTATTCAGATGTACTGCAAAACTGAAGAATATCCAAGGTTAGCTACGCATGTACAACTGAACCAACTGTAGTGGTCAAGCAATCCCCTGTTTTGTGCTCATATTTCTCACGCTTACACGCCTCCAAGTGTGCTTGTGCGCATGTTCTTTGCAGCTCCTTTTTTTTGGGATTAGTTGTAGAAAAGCAAGGCATGCACTAATATGTTTATTGTATTCGTATTCAGATGACTATGGATCAATGCCTGGGAATACATTTTTTTGGTGGACCACCATCCATTTACCAGCTGTATATATATATATAGCGGTTTTTTTTCAGGGCCCCCCAAGGTTTTGACACATCCCCAGATGGCATTACCACAAATCCCTTAATGTAATCCCCAAAAAAGATGCCGAACAGTCGAAAAGTCTTTCTAGGATGTTAGTTCATTGATGTGTCCTTGATATTTTCCAGTTTTTCCAAGGTATTTTCCAAGGTATTTTCGGCATGACTGAGGGGTTGCTAAGCTGCTATATGTTGTTAGACTCCAGGATGTCAACGACTCACCGAGGTTGGTGAATGCAGAGCCCGTGGAATGGCCGTGCAGGCTGGGTCTTGTGTCCTGGCGGCTGAGTCTACCCCTGGATGGGAATGGGATTGGGGTATTCCAAAAGTTGGCCCTGTTTCTGATTTGTAAAATATTGTAATTTGCCCAGATATACGTATGTATCAATGTATCAATATGTGTGTATATACATATATACCATATATATATATATATATATCATATATATATATATATGTATATGTGGCACCTATTGTTGAATGTATATTATATACTAATATATACATATTTATAATACACGTATGTGTCATCAAGATTTACCTCCGTACTATATCAACTTGCCATCCATGTGTAGCTTTGAAACCAACTTTTTGTTTTTGAAACCATGGCGCCTGAAAAGGATGAAGTGCACATACTATTGCTGAATACTTGTCCATTCCCAGCTTAGACAAAGGTTTGTTTGAGTTGAATAATGTTGAATATATATTTTTTTCCCTATGGACAATTCATCATTTGGGAAGATGTTTCACTTTTTTGGGTGGCCACGGAACCCAAGTAGATCAAGTTGTTGTTTTTTTGGTATGGACACAAAAACCACCAAACCATAGAGATCTTACCGAAGGCATTTTTGGGCGGTTCCAGCTCCCATCTTTCGATGGTGATTTTTTAATATGGTGCTGGCCAATCCACCGAAACATGGATCACATCAATTTATTTATGTTCTCATATAATGGATTAAAACATCTTATATAATTCCCAATCATGTGAAGATTAAGATGTTTTAAGATGTTTTAAACTTGGAGTAGTGCCAGTTTTTTATTTTTTTCTCGGCCTTTCGCAATCTCGAGGTGCAACTGGCCTATGTGGATGTCGACCATCTTTCGATGGAGCCACTGGGATTCAGGTTGTGGGCACTTGCCCAAGAGAGGGATTTCTGGGTTGCCTAAAACATCTAAAACGGGCTTGTCCAAAAAGGGTATGTATGATGATATATGATATAACCACCAATTGACATTTGGTTGGATATATGCTTAGTTTTATATAGCTTACATATAATTTAACTAGCTAATCGGGTTTTTGATGAGGACAATGGGTGTATAACCAATGATGATTTGGTTGCTGGTTCAATAAATTTAAATGCACCATAATCTCTGTTGAACTCATTAACCTCACGGCACATTATTCATTTATAGTTGAAGCCATGAGGGTGCTGTGACATGCCATCAGTCTGTCCGCCATCCATGCTATAATTTAATCACATACTATACATAATATATATATGTATGTATATAGTTATATGTATCCTTGTTTGGAATTTGGAGTACCCATTTCGAATTGATATACTGATATATTTGGTACACTAAAACATGTTTAGTGATATCTTTGCATTGTTTATGTAAGTGCTCAGATGACACAACTGCCAGTGATGCCCGCGTTGCCCAGTACCATATGGAAGTTACTAACTGGTACTTGTATGAAAGTTGCTACTTGGCTAAGAACCGGCTTGAGACTCATGCCAGTTGCAAGGATGGAAATCCTCCAATTTTGATCTTTTCTGGTGTTTCAAATACAGTACTCCACATCGAATATGAAGCCCTGAGATTTTCTATGCCGGGGTCTCCCCTTGGTCATGGTACATAGAATGATGGGAACTCAGAAGCCATGCAATACTTCTACATTTCTATTCATACACAGAAAATAGATGAACATAGCATGTCAAGAAATGTAGTTGCACATTTTCTGCCCAGATATGATGTTTGGAGGTTATATCAGTTCAAGATTCGAGTTCTGTCAATAGTTCCTGACACCTGAGGATGATCGCCCTGGCATGTCAAAACGATGAAGCGGAGGAACCTTACCCGCAAGTCCGCAAGGAAAAAAAACGGACGTTGTCGAATCTTGTGGTGGGTGTCCAATGTATCATGATTTACAATGATTTACAGATATTGACAGTATCTCCCGCAGTTTCTTGAACACCCTTTTCATCGATGGTGCTGGTATAGCCTGTGGAACTGCTCCAACAGCTATTCACGACCCTGCAGGTAGATACACCAGGACCATGCTGGGAGAAAGACACCAACTATACCTCTAAATTGTGGGAAAGACACCAACCAAACATCAAAACATTGGGAATGACACCAACCAAACATCAACATTTCACTGGGAAATAGCCGCGTAAACTTGGAATAATTGAAAAGAAACACCACCAAAAATTCGCAGCATAAACATATTTCTCGTTGATCGCATCTTATAAGGACCTTGCAGAAGCCTTGGAGAAACCCATCGATCCAGGCAAGTTCCGCGGCGAAGCTGGTGATGTTTTTTTTACTTGAAAGTGTGTGTCTTTTGGCCCTGAGAAATCCGTTCCGACATTTCAAACAGTCAAATCAGAAGAACGATTTTCTCAGATTCCTTTACTTCAAAAAAGTAGTTCTTTCCCTATAGGGAAGGCCGATCTACGTCCGAGGTTGTTGGAATATGATCCCACTCTGCTTTGCCTGGCGGCAGAGCAGACTCTTGGTCTGGCTGGTGTTTGTAGCTGTTGAATTTTGGAGAGGGTGAGGCAGGAATGTATATTCCAAAATACCTTCGAATTTTGGAATTCCTTAAATTTTTGGATGAACAAAACTTTTGAAGGAACAATGAGAAGTAACATTCTGTTGAAGAATGGCCAGACTGAAAGAAAAGAAACATAAATACGAAATATAGGATATATAGGGTTGTCCAAAAAGACGCATGGATAATATATGCATCATACTTCACAAATCGCATGGTTTGTCATTCTCTTGTCCCATTCTTCGAAGGCCACGACTTGGGCCCCTTGTGCCGCAAAGGGGCTTCCCTGGAAAGGGGCTTCATACTTTCCATTTCATCCTGTTTCATTGTATATAATATGCCTATTTTATTTGATAGTTGATTGATATGTAGGGTTTGTTCTGGTTTTGAAGATCCAAGTTAGTGAAGTATAAATTACTGCTAGTAACTTCAAACAAATAAGAATAGAGTTTTCATGTTCGTTTCACGTCACGTTTTGCCCTTATGGTACTTTAGTTCATTCCCTAAGATAAGCCCCACATGACATGCTCAGCAGATCGAGCCCCCAAGGAATTTCATGGACTCGCTGGAATTGCTTCTCGAGGTCAGGGAACACCTGGGTGAAGGGAGCACCAGCGATCGGAAGCCAAGACAAAATTTATTGGATTCAAGCCAACAACAATCAACGCCGTTTCCAACAGAATAGACATTTGGATTCTACAAAATTCTACTGGTTTGGCCAATCAGCAGTGGGAGTTTGGCAGATAAGGTAGAAATACCATCATTAAATCAGCAAATAGTGTGACCAATATGAATTTAGATCAGCAAAAAGTATGACCAACATAAATGTTGGTTTAAGTGATTGTTCCAACCAACGTGGATATGTTAATCCGCAATAATTGGGATCAAGGGGCACAATGTGTGGATTTTGAGCACTACAACATAAAGAAAGTATAACATGATCATATGATGATGGTCAAAACCTAGCCTATTATTTCCATGTCTGCGGGAATATATATATATATATGTATTTACATACAGACAGACATACATACAGACATACATCCGTTAACCAGCTATTTTAGGGTACCTAGGGTGCCATATGAATCAATGTTTTCTTATTGTTCTTTAGCCACAGCTTAGAACGGACACATCCAGGCCTTTGCCGATCCAAATCGTGGAGATTTAGATGGTAGCCCCTTACTTTGCGCTGCTCAGGCGCGGTTGGTTTTTCGAAACAGGGGTAAGAGCCAAAAAGGTCAAAAAGACCCAGGTAAATGATGCTAAGCCTTGGGATTCAGAGTGTGTTCTATGTTGGGACACGTTAATGTGTTTTTACGAAACCCATTTTGCAGTTGTGATCATGATCATTGAACTCGTAAGTGGGCGTTACAGAAAAGGAAATGGATTCTATGAGCGAAAGGTGTTCTTGAGCAAACTGATTGAGCCACAACAAGGGCAACAAGGGGACAGTCAAAGATGAATGTCCCGCACTTGAACATGTCACAAAGTCGTCACGTTCGGAGCTCTTTTGGAAGATGGGGGTGGCAAAATGTGCACGAGGCTGTAGCAAGAGCTCGATTTCATATAAAATTCGTAAAACAAGTTTCAGCATCGGAGCACTTTTGGAAGATGAGGTCGGCAAAATGTGCACAAGACTGTAGCGAGAGCTCGGTTTCACATAAAAATCTCAAAAAGCTGAGGGTCTCAGAGCACTGTTGGAAGATGAGGTCGGCAGATTTCATTCATTGATTCATTCACTCATTTCATCTCAATTCATTTATTCATTCACTAATTTCTTTTCATTTAATTTTAATTTTCATGTTTTTCATTTCATTCTTTTCATTGCATTCATGCATGCATTCATTCATTCATTTCATTTCGTTTCATTTCATCTCAATTCATTGCTTCACTCACTCACTCGCTCGCTCACACACTCACTCACTCACGCACGCACGCGCGCGCGCACGCACGCACGCACGCACTCACTCACTCATTCATTCATTCCTTCCTTCCTTCATTCATTCATCCATCCATCCATCCATCCATCCATTCATTCACTCAAAATTTCAATTCAATTCAGCTCATTTCAACTCAATTCAATTCAATTCAAATCAGTTCATTTCAATTTTTCATTTGTTTTCTTCAATTCATTCATTTCAATTCATGTCTTTCCAGCTCACCAACAATTCCTATAAGCAAACTGGTTCCTATAGCCATGTCCTAATTTTGAAACTTGCGCCCAGGCGCGTGCTGGGCACTACCTGGTATATAATGCAATGGTTTTTACATAATATATATATATGTTTTTTTCATTATCGCATTTTTAACGGCGGCAAATTCATAGATGAGATGTCCGTGTTTTCAGTGGTTGCCGTTGCTACGTCCATATGCGCAGGAGGGCCACGAAGAGATTTTGCAGCTCTTGTTGGATGCTGGGGCGGAAAAGGATCAGAGCAACGGTGATGATGAGAGGCTTGGATGAAGCAGAATCAAACGCGGGCTGTGGCCGGTGTGTTGCCTGAAACCTAGTACGAACCAGCACTCCCAAGTACCACTGTGCTGTATCAAAACAACACCTTCCATAAAGTGACACAACAACAATTGGACCCCCCAGTTATAATTTGTTTTGTTAACAAAGTTATATAACCGTATATATAGTTATATTAAAGGTATCATGAACCATTGTTTTTGGAATAATTATACACCATTTTTGCTATCGTTTGGGGGCCCCACTATGTACTAATCATCAGTCCTATCCTCCTTGCGAGCATCGCAATGAAAACCGGGCTCCTAACTCATCAAGGTTCAAACAAAAAACAACATTGTTTTCTGTTGACCACAAATTTCCAGAACTATGATATTTCATATCACTCCAAAAATTCACTCACTAGTAGATAGTAGACTCTCATATAGTACATTAATTAATTCTCCATCAAACACTCATTTTTTTTTGCACCGGAAAAAAAACACCATGAACTCTCCAGATGCAAGGACCACTGCACTACAGATCGCCAGTCAAAACGGTCACCTGGAGATCTGTCGGCTGCTGTTAACTGCGCGCGCGGACCCGCACAAGGCCATGGTGGATGGTTCCACGGCGCTGTTTCTGGCGGCGCTCAATGGGTAGCTGTGAAGAACGGTGGAATGGGGAGATTAGATGGGGTAACCAAGGTTTATGTGGGTCTATATATGGTTCATGAGCTACAGCCAAATATTGGGGTAATGGAGAGTAGTATCCGAGACATTTTTATTTTTTTGAAATTGAGCTGGGGCTTGGAAAACGATAATACACTCTTCAAAAAACGATAACATTTGTTTATATACCAAAACCTGAAAAACGAATAATACACTCTTAAAAAAATGATGACTTGGAGCTACCATGGCCCATATGATCTAAAACATGAGTTTGTAGGGGTTCCGCGTGGGTTTTTCACAAGTTTTGGTGTGAACCAAATTTTGGTTATTTTTGTGGCTAGTAATCCATGTACTCTTTCACATTTAATTTACCTACATTTACATGATTTTACATGATTGTACTGGAAACATCCCATGCATTTCCCATAGTTTATGTCACGCCATACATAAGGATAGCCACAAGGGTGGAAAACTTGTCATTTAAATTTTACCAAAATTTATTTTCATATATTTACCCAGTTTATCCCCCTTGGACCTGGGGTGTTCGAAGCAACCCTGTATATTCATCACTTTCCATTTGCAGGGTGATCCTCACAGGCATCAAGACGTTCTGCGTTTCTTGCTGGAGCAGAAGTGTGATGTCGATGCTCAAGTCACTGACCCACGGCGAGAAATTCATCAGGCCACTGTATAACATTAGACGCAATCTAGGGCAAGATAATTGGCTAAGTTCGTTTACAACTGGGTCAACTGGGGCTTATGATAGTCATAACTATAGTTGGATGGGATCATATGCCAACTTGTTGTTGAATCGCCACTGGGCAGTAAAAATGTAAAGGAAAGGCGCGGAAGCAGAAAAACATGTATCGTCCAAACCACTCATTGACGAGCCCTGGCATGACTTAGTTTGGCTGGTTGATGGTGAATATATACCAATATTTGTTGATTACATCCCACATGTTGAGACAAACCCATGGTTGTAACAATATCCCTTCTATATCCTCTTTAAATCCCCATTCTAACCCCATGGTTTGTGCTTTTTTGCCCCGCCGAGGACGCAGGAACAAGCCCTTTGCACGCAGCTGCGCATGAAGGGCATCCGCAGGTGGTGAAGCTCTTGTTGCACTCGGGCGCTGGAATCAACCTTCGTAGCACCAGGGGTCTCAGCCCGCTGCATTTGGCCGCCTCGGAAGGCAGGGTGAGGCTTACAGTATGGGCTTGAAGATTGATGGGTCCCAAACAGAACTGATGAGGACAGCGTGTTTTCTCCGCACACTAAGCTCAGGGTGATGAAACCCACAGATCTTGAATCATGTTCAAACCCAACGTGAGCGTTGGGCGTGGAACCAGCTGGTACTCGGAAGGGATGAAAACACACTGAGCGAAATCAAGATTCATGATGCATTTGCTGCATCGTCCACTTCTCACTGGGATCCTGGATAAAGTTGAAGTGAACGTTTCTGTGGCTGTGTTTTTGACCAATGGGAACACAGAATACCCCATGAACCAGTTTGACGTTTGAGATTTGATATCGTATATCATATATATATATTATATCTGTCCAAACACAAACATAGACACATGTATGACATATATATATATATACACATACATCTAGGTTATATTTATATACATCTATATAGTTTTCTTAATATATTTATATATATATATATATTTAATTATTTATATTTATATATATATATATATATATTAAGACGCTTATACAAGATGATAAATTAAACTATGCACACTTTGAATTACGTGGTATTGAGGATTGAGCCTTGTTTCGCCTCGCACGAGGCCATAAAGAGGTGGTTGGCTTATTGTTGCAGTCCAGGGCAGAGCATGACCAACTGAGCCCCGGACGTCGAAGATGTTCTTCGAAGCATTTTTGTCCAGGGAAAAATCCAACAGCAACAGGGAATCGACCTGTTTTTTTATATATAATACATGTAAACAAACTCGAGAAATCTGGGTTGGGGAGGCTGATGAGTTTGCTCTTAGATGTGTATTTATATATATTTATATAATATAATGATTTGTATAAATATATATATATTTATTTATATTCATGCATATATTTATACATGGTGAGGTGTTAATGCTCCGATGCAACTTTGTGCTGCAAGGTGTAGCCACGCAACTATTATGATACTGTATGAGCGTCCGACAGGATCCAAATACTATTTGAGGAAGGGTTTGGGGTGCAATTTTAGGGTGAAACATGGGTTTGTCCAAAAACAAGGCAACCAACATCCAATGAACTGTCATTCTTTTCCCGAATAAAACTGCTAAAACTTGGAGGTAATTCCCGCATTTCCGAACAACCCGGTTTCACTATTCATGGGTTAAGAAGAGTTAAATCGCTAGTTTTGGGCTATATAAATCTCATGCTGTCGTTGCATAGATTGCTGATGGTAAAAAATAACCATGTGTTCTTTGGCTCGCTAAGTCTCAATTTTGGGTGGTTAAACCGTATCTTTCAAACACATCATCAAATTCTTATCTTGGATTTTGTTAACTCTATCATGTTCTATCTATTTTCACTATCTTGTTGTTTCAAATCAAATTTTCAAACTGTGGGTCTCATATTTGTTCAATCCCCCGGCTCGCCAAGGAGTGGACTCGGCACAACACCCTTGCTCACGGCAGTTCAAGCTTGTCATTTGGAGGCGGGGACCAGTGGTGACCAGTGGTTTGATGGTCATAAAAATGGAGAATATAAGCTGGAATATTATATATATATATATATATTATATTATATATATTATACTTTATTACATGATACATGTTTAGGTTGTTTTTTCTGATATATTTATTTATATATATACATATGTGTGTGTTATATATAATACATATATATATGTCGTATATATATATGTATATATATGTATTGATTTATGTTGTGAATAGATATACTTTGGTTCTGCCACCAAGTGAGCCGCGAGCCGCACGCGCCCGCTTCAGGTGGTGCAGATGCTTTTGGAAGTGAAGGCTCGGAAAGATTTGGGTCGACCGATGGATACCTTGGCTCAGTGATGTTGTTTTTGCATCCACCAAAAATGGTACAAAGTGGAGCCGCCAAAAGATGACTATATAAGTACTGCTAAGTTGCTAACTTGGTTTATGTTGGTTTTTGAATCCAAACGATAGCTAAGTTTGTTCAAAAACACAAAACAATTGCCACTGTTGAAATTCCAATAACTATTTGGTACTTACTTATAACCTTTAAGTATAGTCAATGTTTCTTAACCAACTTACAACTGGGGGCGGCCCAATGATATAATCTACTGATCTACTGGCAATATGACTTTTGTTTGGATCATTTACATTTTATTTTTTTGTTTTCACTCTCAAGCAATTCTAAGCTCTTGTGTCGATGACATAGCCACTGCTGATGCTTAAATCCACACAGTCGATGGTGAAAGTTTTTCTGTTCGGAAACAGATTCCATTTGTATGTGTTCATTCCTTCTTTCAACCTGCTCTGAGGATCACCCCAAATTGGGTCTGTGGTTCAAAGCCTTTTTTTCAGCATGATGAAAGCAGTTCTACCCCAGTTCTGTATGGGATATCCGCAGTTATGGCTGCAGAAGATCCATTTACTAGATGGGGTGCACATCCAGATGGGCTTACCAAATCTTGAATTTCAGCCTTTTCATGGCACAGATTCAAACTCCCAAGCCAAGACATCAGCGGTTGTGCTTCAAAGTTATTGACTCACCAATTTAGATCGTTGAATCTGGCAATGTGGGGCCAGCAGTTGGTTGGTTTCGGGTGGCTTATAAAGACAGAAACTTAAGAATGTTGATTTAGGAATCGTGGTTGATCTATGATACACTTCTGTTGGTGTGCAATCACCAAGACTGTTGGATTTTTGGTGGATATATCTTCAAACACCAATCAAACCCAAATTTGGCCACGAATCCCATTCTTGATCCACGCGTGGCGGAGAGGTTTAGCCCACCGTAGAAAAGCTCGGGGTCACTGGGGAAACCTTGGATGACTAGTTTAAGCTTAGTTTTTGTACACTTCATATTTTGCTATAAATGTGTATAAATAAAATACTATTTAATTACTGACCGACCAGCTCAAGCAGATCAGGTTCACCATTTGAAGTATGTAAACATAAATTGCTCAGATCCGATGAGAATCTAAGGATTGCGCAACTCCCCTGCACTTTGCTCTTTCCAATTCTCAGCTGCCAATGGTGCACCTGCTCCTCCGAGCGCGTGTGGATGTCAATGCGGTGATGAAGGATGATGGCGCAGTGCCGGTCCTTGCATGCCGGTCTTGGTCCTGGCATGGCTGGGTGCAGGTATCATTTCCATAGAAATATCCTGGCTACGCAACTAACGTAGCTACAAATTGAGGACATAATTGATGTTGTAAGCTGGCATACAATTTCACTGTAGTTTATCCACTAGAAACTTAATTGTTATTTTTTATTATAGATTTTAACACACAGAACCTATCTTTGAGGCCGCATTTTAGATGAAAAACCAGGGCTAGATTAATGATCCAACTGAAGTTTGGAATCCTATGGGGGCTATGAAGAAAAAATGAAGATGTTGTGTGACCATTTATCATTGAGAAAACTGCAAGGGTCATTTTCTGATTCTTGTGTATTACGTGTTGTTATCCGCTAAAAAAATCATCGGGCGTTGCTCCAATGATCTGCCAGATCTTTATATGTGCGTTAATTTTCCCATGTTGGTTGTGCAGTTTTTTTTTATTATTTTTTTATTTTTGGTATCTGTTGATTGTCACTTTTGAATATAATGATTGCAGCATATGGGCGCATGGCTTTTTAGAACGAACAGTGGCATTGCTGCATCATGTTCAGACACAGCTAACGCATATGGTTAGTCACACATCCCATGATATCCCAAGGGATCTCCATTACATCCCCATGTCCTATATATATGTATATATATATATATATACATATGTATATGTATGTATATATATATACATATGTATATATACATATATGTATATATATATGTATATATATATATATGTATATATGTAAATATACATATATGTTTATAAATGTATATATATATATGTAAATATACATATATGTTTATAAATGTATATGTATATATATATGTATATGTATATATATATATATAGGTATATGTATATATATATATATCCAGAATTATCTACATCTAGTTTTTTCCCCCTGCTGTTTTGGCCCCCAGACACACCTGAGACCGGTCTCAGGTGCCATTACACCTTGCCGTTCAAACACGTCGACTGGAGATGGTCAGCAGCTTGCTGGAACTTCGGGCAACCAGTCGAGCCAGGACGTGGGGCTGCGATTGGAGTTGTATCACCATGGACATTGCATCGACAGCCGATAAGCATTGATAAGCCCCATGAGTCAGTAAACACTATCCAGTGGAGGGTTTTGGGTTCGCGACGATCGTTTTGCTGGGTATCCAATAGATTCTTGGCTTTTGCATGAGGAGCCATTTGGAGCTACTACTGTAAGAATTTTCCAACCATATGTGCAATGGCCAAGAGTTGATTAGCTTCTGGGCTCAGACCTCCACGTGATGAAGCTGGAATGTGTAGCTGTTTCACAACCAACTGGGCCATGCCATACCCTGAGACACCTGCTTTGTTTTGTTGGGATTTTGCTTTGGAATTTAACTGCGAAAGGAGAATTAATTTGTCCCTGCGACGTCCTACATACTGTGGAGGTGTTCAAAAAGGATGCTATTGCTGTGAGTGTTTAGCTTGTCTTGATGTATGCCAGATTGATGCGTGATGGAGTCAGGTCGCAATGTGACTTTGAGGAGATCTGATAAATCTCTTTACGCCTTGGCGATTTACACATGACCTCGTGGATTACCGGTTGGCAAGGGTGACGGTTGACCAGCGGGAGCTCGCTGTCTGCCATGGCATAAGCAAAGTCTATTTTCGTCCTTGCGACAGCACGAGTGCAGAATCAGGTGTTGTGGCGTCACCAGACAAGAGACGAGAGATATTGATGACGAAAATGGATATGTGTCAATGAAGCCTGAGCCAGTGGAACAGTCAGAAACTGGGCCGGTAATCTGAATGATTTTTTCTGGCCTTGATATGCAAATTTGTTGTGATACTTGCATGGTGTGCTAACCACCCCAGTTGGTAGCCGCCCTCTGTGATATTTTCAATGAAATTTGCAGTGTCAATCACCCGTATTGACCTTGCTCGGCATCTGTCAACGATGGGAATTCTGTAGCGCCTTCTTGACAGCCTAAGGGCTCTCTGTGTGATGCAGTGGCCACCTTTGTAGTGTTGCATTTTGTCAGTACAGTTCCCTGTCAATTTGCAGTGGTCACCGATGCCCGCCGCCTGTGCCTATGGGGTTGGTCGACCGTGGAATTTTAGACTCCGCAAGCTCCGTGTCAAGAGTTGAATGATATACCCAGTCCTTGGGGAGGGGATAAATCAATCCATTACTACGGGTTCGTATACCCATAGGTTCAGGATTCCTATCATGGGATGGATGACAATAAAGGCATATGTAAGATGTAACTTGACCATGGCACATATAACCCCAATAACTGGGCGAGACATCATCTTATTGAGTGGACATGCGCCCTCAAGAGGGAAGGGTTTGCTGGGTAAACTGTTGACTGGTTAGGTTCATGGGTTCCATTGATGTCTGGGGCTGGCCATTTGCGCCCAACGTAAACACAAAAGGCACTTAAAAGCGGCTCATAGTTTTCCATACCCCAAGCATTTATCAACCAATTCAGATCATGGAGATGACAAAATTATCTTGAGTTCATTATGACACCAAAAATATAGTATGTTTCATACTTCACGATGAGCTATGTTTCGGCAATGTGGGAATGGTGTAGAAGCCTCGGACCTTAGTAGTTTTTGGGGTATCACACATCCTACTTAATACATGGAAGTCATTAGTTGATATGAACAAAATGGATTTTAAACGCCCATAATTTGGTATATTTAGATATATGTATGTAGGTGTATATATTTTTGGATTTATATGTATAAATTATGGAAATCACTGATCTCTATTGTTATGTATCAGTACACAACTTCGGCATCGGGGATCCACCAGGACTGATGGCACGACACCTTTGCACATCGCAGCGGGGCAGGGTAACTGTCTGCTGAGCAGAGCCAGGTGTTTTTTTTTGTGTTTGTGTTACTAGTCCCCCCTGGTAATTTAACATTGCTATGGAAAATAGTGGATTTACCTGTTTGAATTTAGTTGAATGGTGATGCTATGCTAGTTTGCCAGATGGCGTATTGTTGGTTTTGATTTATTGTGTTACCAATCTTTGCGGTGTTTTATGCTGTTTCCCCTCTGATGCTTTATGATGTGTCTTGGGCTTTAGATGGGTGTGCGAAATAGTATGTATCAACACCATATAACCATGTATAGGTGCGAACCCAACAGCGTCACTCTTGTGCTGGGGCAAAGAACGAACAGTTTCAAACAGTCCATTTAAGTGATAATCTGGGTTCATACGGTTACAATGCCCTCAATATATTGGGGCTAACCATAATCCATGAGCATGGAATCACCAACCAATGTTTTTGGGCTCATGCAAGAGGTTTTTGACATTGCTAAAATGTGGACCCTCGCCTTTGGAACATGTTTTCTTTTGAAAGTCGGCAGATCAGTTAGCAGATCATAGGTGTATGACATATTTATTTACATATATATATAGATATAACAATACTTGCATCAATACTTACCATGGTTATAATAATCATAGTGATAATAAATAAATATACTAGAATAATACGGTCGTAGAAATACTAATGTATTGGCAAAATAAATAAATTAGTATAAATAATCTGTTCAATACATGATTTACCTATGTATATATATATATACATTTACATACATACATACATACATACATACATACATACATACATACATACACTAGTATTCATACACTCGGGTTCAATCACCCAACTTCCTCAGAGGCGACTCAAGGATTGCCTGCGCCTTGCTGCTGGCAAAAGCCGATGCCGATGCATGCGCGGAGGAGGAGGGTGCGACACCGCTGCATTGGGCGGTCTTGGAAGGACATTTGGAGGTGGTGAAGGTTTTACTGCAGCAAGGCGCGTGCAAAGATGCTTGGAGAATCGTGTTGATTTCAAAATGAAGAATGGGAAATCAGTTGAGAATACTTGGGATATCATCCGATTTATTTTCGTATTTATATATATATATAACAAAAGGATTTCAGCACTGAAGAATGGATATGAGCTTGGTGCCTGAACATGACTACGTATTTTAACGGGATAAATTATGCTAGTCGCAATTTGCGGTTAACTTGTCGAGTCCAAACATCTTCTGAGAGGGTACTTGAAGCACAATATGATTAGTAAGTGCTTGGCTACCATTATGTCACTGTTCAATCTAATCCAAATTTGGTTTTGTCTGAAAATTTGTGGGGGACCCCTAAATCTATTGGTTGATTACAAAAACTGGGGGAGGGGCCCGTTTTGAGACAAACCCCTTTGTTTAGTTGGGTTGTAGGAGGAAATGAAAAATATCCGCCAAAATTTTGAAGACCGGAAATTCTCTCACTTGGGGAGGTAAAACAGCCACCTTTCTTTCACATGTATGTAGCTGATTTTTGAGTACAAAAGGGGAGCGTCTTTTTCTCAAATCACATTGTCGGAGTGTATGTTCTGGATGATGTATATATAGTTGAGGACAACTACTTAGAACATCAAATTTTCCAAAATGTCCCAACCCGTACTTGGAACATACACGGACACATACGTAGAACATGGGAAAGTGTTCTAAGTGCGCACTTATAACATCAGAAAACCATATACATAGATCAGCTCCTTTGATCTCTGCATACTTAGAACATAAACAGACCATATAAAATTTCATTAGAGAACATTTCCAGTGACTTGGTAAATCTGCATGTATACACACAAATACCATTGTGAACACCACACTTAGAACACTTTCTCCCCTCACTGCTGCTGAAAAACATTGCCTTTTCTTCCGGAACAATATCCCAATCAATCTTTTCTGCCATGAGAAAGGTGGAGATTGCCCCAACCCTTTTAATTTTTCTATATAGTGTATAAAATTATTGAGGAACGTGTACTTCGAACATATATGTATATATATATATATGTTCCCATTGGTTCCCCCTGGGATGTTCTAAGAATATGTTTTGAATATGTTCTAAGTACTGATGCTCTAAGTGCTACTTAGAACATCCCCGCTGTGACGTGTTTTTTTCCAAAGGATGTTCTAAGTACACGTCCCCAATTATACTCAATTATATTCAGTTTATTTTGAGGAAATGTAGCTGGATATAGTTTGAAGGGAACCAACAGACTAAAAAGCACCGCCGACAACTGAGGTGGCATTTTGTGTGCAAACCTAATTTTGCCCTTTCTAGTCGAACTGATTGAAATCAAGAAATCTACGTCAGGAGGTCCCATCTCCTTCGGAATGGCGTCTGATTAGCACGTGTTATTATTTCCATGTATGCCAATTGTAGACTACCTACCTTGGGTTGCGGTTTGCGTTTTTTGATGTCCATTACTGTCTGACCAAATGCCTCCTACTTGTTTCAGCAATTCAATTTCCAGATTTCTTACAATCCCCTTCCCCTTGCGTTTGAATCTTGAATCCGTTTCTTTTGTTGAAAGCCACTTTCTGGCGAACGCTTGATTTCAAATCTTTAAAACAACCCAGGACATTCGCCTCAAGAATCAGCCTGACTCCAGTGCCACCGCACTGAATTTGGCCATATCCCATGGGCACCGCCACATCGTGACGCACCTGTTGAGAAATGACATGGGAGACACTGCGACGCCGAAACGCCGCAAGATTCGCGAAGAAGAGCTGAATGAGTAGCAAGTTGGTAAAGCTGTGCTCACCATCAATAAAGAATGATTGACACTGGGCATTTCACCATGTGCGGCCAACAAAAATGTGGATTTGAATGTGCATTCCGGTGGGTGAAAACAGGTAAACTTAAACCAATCCGGTATGAGAGTTTCTTGTGCCACTTCGCAGCTGCTCGGCTGGCATGGTGTGTCCATCAGAGCGAGCAGGAGAAAAAATGCGTTTTCTAAAGAACGGGAATCTTTGCAAGTGGGGATGTGTCAGAACCTATCATTTTTCGTAATTTTAGGGGATGAACATCCAGAAGTCCCAGCTATTTTCGTGTGAAGGGTACCAGATGTTTTGATCATCAGCAAATATCTCAAAACGCATGGAAACACAAGCTTAAAAATTTACTAGGGCTGCTTCATCCTAAGAGTTGTGGATGTTGGATGATCCTGCAATGATGGACCCCCAAGATAGCTAAGTGTGTTTATCACTACAATTACTAAGACTTGTGCTGAATGGGTGTCTAAAGCAACTTATGACGGGGCGCACATAGAATTTTTGATGAATCCCTTTTTTCCCCAAACAGTGTGGCCACACGGAAGGGGTTCTGACGGTCAGGGTTAAGGCCGGGTGTTCAGTCGAGATGGTATCATACGTGCGCGGGATTTGTGATGACCCTTTCAGCACAAAAGTGTCCCCGGCTTCCGTTTTCGATGGAAGTCTCGCACGAAACGGTGGCCCGCGGCATTTTTCCTGTAAATTTCCGTCTAAAATGTGTGGTCCTAGCTTAGGGCACAGCATTTTTTGTAAAATCTCGCATCAAATGGCTCTTGTGACATGTCCATGTGCATTTTGACTGCGCAGGCTCGCGCAAAACGAGATATCTCGTACAGACATGTTGCCAAGAGACCTCTGCTAGGGAGCTTGTACAGAGATCTTGCCAAGAGACCTTTTGCGAAGATCTTGCCAACAGAGCTTCTATAGAGATCTTGCCAGAAGGCCTCTTTTAGAGATCTTGTACAGAGATCTTGCAAGGGCACCTCTTTTGGAGACCTTGTGCAGAGACATTGCAGAGAGATCTGTTGCAGAGATCTTGCCAAGAGGTCTCTTACATAAATCTTGCCAAGAGAGCTTTTATAGAGAGCTTGTACAGAGATCTCTTAAAGAGACCTTGCCAAGAGATCTCTTATAGAGATCTTGTCCAAGAGGTCTTGCCAAGAGACCTCTTACAGAGATCTGATCTGAGATCTTGCTAAGCGGTCTCTTACAGAGATCTTGCCAAGAGAGCCCTTGTAGCGATCTTGTACAGAGATCTTGCCAGGAGACCTCTTTTGGAGATCTTGTACAGAGACCTGGTGAAGAGAGAGCAGAGGTCTTGCTCGGGGATCATCTTGAACAGAGATCTTCCTTTGAAATCCCTCACAAAGATCTTCTGTGGAGATCTCCTATAGACACCTTGTACAGGTAGACTTACACAGGGATCCTGCACAGCAGCTTCTACAGAAAACGTCGCAAGGAGATCTTGCGCACGATCTTCTACAGAGATCTTCACAAATGGAACTTGCAGAATCTTACCTGGTACCTCTTCTTCCAGAGACCACCTTGAATGAACACCATTCTTTCACTACTAATAGATCTATCTATAGAATTCTCAAGAATTTTTTGGTAGGGCCACTCTTGTCCTGCTAGCTTGCAGCCACTGGTGATTTTGGGTCCTTTCCACCTTTGCCTTTAGAATCCTAACTGCACACTGTTTGGGGCCCCTTGCCGGGGTAATTTTTATGGTACCCGGGGACTTTGCACACCATGAAATCACGCTTCGGCACAGCTTGCAGGAGGAACAGCCTCGCCAGCAAGGTTGGTGCGGGGTTAGCCGAGCTTTCTCCTAATCGCAATGATGAGAATGATTTAAAGAGCAGCAACAATTATGGCACATGTAGTACGACTATCGCAATTGTACACTGAAGGGTTCGGAATCACTCCTTAGCTATTGACAAACTTTCAGATTCTTTGTCGTTCCAGACTTGCGCAGCGTGGAGATTCAATTTGAAACATCCCAGAATGGACGTTCCTGAGATGATTTGTTGCTGCAACGCGTTCAACGATAAACCCCGCACTCTTCATCTTAAGGCCATCGTAAATTGTTTGAGTGCAAAGGCCGATATTGTGATACATGTCCGGTTTGTGAAAATCGGAGATGGTTTTATCCATAACATCGCTCGTGTCCGTGTTGGCTAAATATTGCTATAGCTGTTTTTCACATTTTTGTTGACCCAATGATTCCCAAGGATCCTCTTAGGAATTTCCAGGAATTTCCTGTGAGACTCCCACTTAATCTACAAGGGGATACCCAATGCCAGGTCGCAGCTCTGTGATGCCGTCCCAGAGGCCAAGAAAATCACGGGAGGATGTCACGGAGTCGAGGAATGGCAACCCATTTCTTACATTAATATATGTTAATTACTTATTCTACTATTATTGTTATATATTGTTATGTGTTCCTGTCATTTTGTTTTTCATGGAAGGACCGCAAATATGCCCGAATCATTTTAATAATTGCCGAGTATTTACTTGATTTGTTTGTGCTTTTCATTGTGATAGCATACATTTGCTTGACGTTTCCTGGTCTTTGATTGCACAAAAACATGAATATGAGCAATGCCAGTTGCCACGTGTTGGTTGATGTTTCGAGTTGTTTTGCGTGGATTTTGGATTGATGTGGGAATAACGGTTCGCCGCCCAGACGCTGCCAATCCCTCCCGTCACGTCACGTCACCCCGTCACGTTGCGAGACCCAACCGCGAACCATGCTCAATGTGGGTAAAACAAGAATGAACTATCCCCCAAACCACAATTTTTATAGGTGGTATAAACATTGACAAATGGGTGGTTTATTTTTGTTTTACCCACATTACCGTTACCTGAAATCATCGGCCATCAGGCCCTGCTTCAATTGGTGCGTTTCGAGAACATGACCCCCGCCGAGTTACGAGCTGTTGCCAAGTCGCTTCGCCCTGGAACTAGAGTTCGCCAGAGTTATCTTTGCCATGGAGACTTGAACCACAAAAATTGAAGGTTCAACTTTTTTGTGCTGGTTTAGTTGCTAATATATCTTAATATATGATAGTTATTTACATATATTTATTTACGTGAATCTACATGACGTCACATATCTATAATATAGTTTGTTTTTTTGTCTATGGTGCATATGTTTAATGAATACTGTATGCGTATGTATACGATACTTCAAAAAATAAAATTCAAACAACATTGCTGAACACAATTCCTTGACTTGGAACTCTGGTTATAGTAATGACCGTCTCATTCTCATGGGACAATTGTGTTGCGATCTCATTGGCTGAGCTCATCGCAAAAGATTGTAAATAAAGGGAATCTGTCCCCAAAAAATGTTTTCACGCAGCAACATTTGGGAAGAATGGTGCTGTAGCATAGTGGGGATTTAATGATGATATAATATATGTTTATGGTTGATACTCTGGATGAATTATCATCCAGCCCATTTTGTTGAGGTTTTGGGTCATGCCACCTACGGGACAAGGGTTGAGGATTAACGACTCGTCAGCTTTCTTCCGCACACCCGATCCACTTGTTGCTGGCCATTGCTGGCCATTGCTGGCGGGTAATGTCCGCTAGCACTGCACTTGACTGGGCTAACATGCCAGTATTGCTCGCAAAGCAACTCACATAGTTGAGTGAACCTTGGTGCGCAGGTCAGTACTTCAGGTACCCAGCCAAAAATCAATTCGATATAATATTGACCACCACTAAGGATTAAATGCAGTTTTGGTTGTTGGAAAGAAGCGCGCCCACAGGAACCCTGTGTGTCTGGTGGTTCAACACACGTTTTATGTTCAGTGGTCAATCCTGTTTGGGATTATGATCCCAATTCAATTTTATAATGGTTCATATACTATCGTAGCTATCTTATTTAGTTATTTATTTAGTTATATATATATATATTATATTTATATATATATAATTATACAAAATTCTCGGGGGGAAGATTGAATTGATCATATTTTCAGCCACAAGCAACAGTAATTTCTCAGATTCAACGTGAATGAAGTTCACCGTCCATCTCCGTTCTTGACCCTTCAACGTTGAGGTCATACTTGGCGCCGGAACGCTATATCGAACTGTTGGAGGAGGCCCGACATGGAAGCTGGAGTTTCCTGTGTGATTTCGTAAACGTGGGGCCCCACATGGTGAGATGTTGAAATAGTTGTGGCTTACATAGCCGAGGAACATATATATATATATATCTATATGTATTTATATACAGTGTTTTTTTTGGGATATGGATAATTATTTGCATTTCACAAGCAAGAACAAATTGTAAACCTAACCACAGAGGATATAACTTGGTGTAACCCACCAACACTATTGTATGATATCGTATATATGTGTTATATCGCTTTGTCCCCCAAACTAGACGACGGATGGCCCGGGAGCGTAGAGGAGCAGAGTCTTCTGTTGTTAGTATGGAGACACGCTTTTTACACACAGGCTCTTTTACACAAAGACGCTTTTACACACAGACGCTTTTACACACAGACGCTTTTTACACGCAGGCGCTTTTACACACAGAAGCTTTTACACACAGACGCTTTTACACACAGACGCTTTTACACACAGACGCTTTTACACACAGACGCTTTTACACACAGATGTTTTTACACACAGGCTCTTTCACACACAGAGACTTTTACACACAGAGGCTTTTACCCGCAGAGACTTTTACACACAGACGCTTTTACACACAGACGCTTTTACACAAACACTTTCACACGCAGAGACTGTTACAGACAGACGCTTTGACACACAGACGCTTTGACACACAGGCGCTTTTACACACAGACGCTTTGACACACAGACGCTTTTACACACAGACGCTTTTACACACAGAGACTTTTACACACAGAGACGCTTTTACACACAGAAGCTTTTACACACAGACGCTTTTACACACAGACACTTTTACACACAGACGCTTTTACACACAGACGCTTTTACACACAGACGCTTTTTATACACAGGGGCTTTTACACACAGAAGCTCTTACACACAGACGCTTTTACACACAAACACTTTTACACAAACACTTTTACACACAGACGCTTTTACACACAGACGCTTTACACACAGACGCTTTTTACACACAGACGCTTTTTACACGCAGGCGCTTTTACACACAGAAGCTTTTACACACAGACGCTTTTACACACAGACCCTTTTACACACAGACGCTTTTACACAGACGCTTTTACACACAGACGCTTTTTACACGCAGGCGCTTTTACACACAGAGACTTTTACACACAGAGGCTTTTACCCGCTGAGACTTTTACACACAGACGCTTTTACACACAGACGCTTTTACACACAGACGCTTTTACACACAGGGGCTTTTACACACAGACGCTTTTTACACACAGACGCTTTTTACACACAGACGCTTTGACACACAAACTCATTTACACACAGAGGCTTTTACACACACACACTTTTACACAAACACTTTTACACACAGACGCTTTTACACACAAACGCTTTGACACACAGATGCTTTTACACACAGACGCTTTTACACACAGAGACTTTTACACACACAGACGCTTTTACACACAGAAGCTTTTACACACAGACGCTTTTACACACAAACACTTTTACACAAACACGTTTACACACAGACGCTTTTACACACAGACGACGCTTTTACACACAGACGCTTTTTACACACAGACACTTTGACACACAAACACATTTACACACAGAGGCTTTTACACACAGAAGCTTTTACACACAGACGCTTTTACACACAGACGCTTTGACACACAGACGCTTTTACACACAGACGCTTTTACACACAGAGACTGTTACACGCAGAGACGCTTTTACACACAGAAGCTTTTACACACAGACGCTTTTCCACACAGACACTTTTACACACAGACGCTTTTACACACAGACGCTTTTACACACAGACACACAGGCGCTTTTACACACAGACAAGTCCGGCACAAGTAAAATCGCAATTTTACCTCAGTTTTTGACGATCGACCCTCATTTCGTGCGAAAGGGTTGCTCCAGCACAAGTCATATCGCAATTTTACCTCAGTTTTTGACGATCGACCCTCATTTCGTGCGAAAAGGTTGCTCCAGGACAAGTAAAATCGCAATTTTACCTCAGTTTTTGACGATCGACCTTCATTTCGCGCAAAAGGGTTGCTCCAGCACAAGTCATATCGCAATTTTACCTCAGTTTTTGACGATCGACCCTCATTTCGTGCGAAAAGGTTGCTCCAGGACAAGTAAAATCGCAATTTTACCTCAGTTTTTGACGATCGACCCTCATTTCGCGCAAAAGGGTTGCTCCAGCACAAGTCATATCGCAATTTTACCTCAGTTTTTGACGCTCGACCCTCATTTCGTGCGAAAGGGTTGCGTTTCGTGCCGTCTCGTTGGCACTGCCCCTGCTCCCGCCTTCAAAAGAGAAATAGAAAAGAAGGAGAGGGCAAGAGGGCAAGAGGGCAAGATGAGAAGATGTGAGATGAGAAGATGTGAAGATGAGAAGATGTGAGAAGATGTGAGAAGATGTGAGAAGATGTGAGTGAAGATGTGAGAAGATGTGAGAAGATGAGAGAAGATGAGAGAAGATGTGAGAAGATGTGAGAAGATGTGAGAAGATGTGAGAAGGTGAGAAGATGTGAGAAGATGTGAGAAGATGTGAGAAGATGTGAGAAGATGTGAGAAGATGTGAGTGAAGATGTGAGAAGATGTGAGAAGATGTGAGAAGATGAGAGAAGATGAGAGAAGATGTGAAGATGTGAAGATGAGAAGATGTGAAGATGAGAAGATGTGAAGATGAGAAGATGTGAAGATGAGAAGATGTGAAGATGAGAAGGTGTGAAGGTGAGAAGATGAGAAGATGTGAAGATGAGAAGATGAGGGATGAGGAGAAGATGTGAGGATAAGAAGATGTGAAGATAAGAAGATGTGAAGATGAGAAGATGTTTTACAGACCCCCACTATTGGAAGAACCCTGCGCTCAGACGCTCTCGGGAAAAGTCGGGATATCCCAAAATCGCTATGTTAATGTTATTAGTGGGAACATTCATTATAGACTATGGGAATTCTGGTCGCACTAGTTTCAGGCTGGGGCAACGTGGCTGGCTCTCCAGCATGTGCCCACTGTGGATCCCTTCATGAAAATATGGAAAGCCTCCGTAGTCACCTTTGCCAGGGTTGCTGCCGACTGTTTGACAGAATTCAATCTGCTGGTCGGTGGTTTTACCGACGTTTATTTGCCATTCTGCTTCGGTGATGAATCTGATTGACTGTCATACTGTTAGGATGGGTGGCTCACGACCAGAACTTCCTCTATATAGTCCTGACTTTTTGTCAGCTCCCCTGTTCTGGTCGGCTCAATACCCCATGTGGGTACGGCGGTTATAATATTTTTTTTGGCATTGTAATCACTTTCATATGTATGTATATATATATATATATACATATTTACACATCATGTACATGTACTATTATGTGGCTCTGATTGTTTGTATCCATATGCATGTTTCTTATCATTTTGGCCAGTGCGTTGTCGTCTTTGTGTGGACGGCTTGGACTCAGTGGTTTGGAAGCGTTGTCCAGTCCCACTCATGATGAGACCCTGTCTTAATAGATCTGGCAACACATATGCTATGAGCAGAATAACAAAACACTGCTGGTTTTTCGTATCCAAATTATTGCTGATTCATCTCTTCATTTGCTGTGGAATATCCACATGATCCAGTTTAACGTGGGCGTTTGCTGATCGCGTGCAACCATTAGATTAACCCCCATACTTCAGGTCAATAGCCAACATTTTTGTTTTGCGATTTTTGCTGTTGTATAGTTTGTGAAGACCTGTTCAGCCTGTTACCAATCTTTTTTGGGGTCCTATCATTCACCCCTTTTGTTTTGCATTCCTGTCTAGCTAGTCCAATATGGTAACCGCCCAGGCATGAAAGTGCCAACCATCTCCGCTTGGCCAGTTTGTTGTCGATTGTTTTGATGTCTACATCAACGTGCATGGCAGCACTATTCCTTAGTTGCGACACTTGTCCTGGTTCGAGAAGTTGCAAGTGAAGTTAGTAAAGTTATGGTTTAATTGTAATCTAATATTAGCCCTTAAATTCCTTAAGTTTAACTTACTGAACTTATAACTTCTTTAAGTTGTTTTGAAACTAGAAAAGCTATAAGAAAAAGCTTATTTTATTTTTTAACCACAAAGGCTGGCGTGAAGAGAGATCAATTTGCTTGGTTTTGAGGCTTTTCTCTAGAATGTTTTGTTATAGCTGGTACTTCTCTATAGATGGGAAGTGGCTGCTCATTGGGCCGCCTTGAAACTAATCCCAAGGGCTTGAAACTAATCATTGAACATTTCATTGAAACCAGACCTCAGTGAACTGAACTTTAAATAATTACGGTACCATTGACAGTTAGCTGGACTGCTCAATGAGCCGCCTTCGAATCTAAGATTTTTGAGTCTGAAGATTCAACTTTGAAAAAGTATAAAGTGAAGTGGCTTTGCAATGATAGTGTTGTGATGCAGCGGATATGCAATAACAAATTTAATTTTGACAGATTTGGAAAGCTTTTCGCTCTGCATAGTGCAGTATGATTCGAAAGATCAACAGAACAAAATATTCATAAAAGGTGAAAAATGTTACACACAGTTATACATGTTTATACATGTTTATACATGTTTATACATGTTTATACATTTTGCTGTTCGAGTTATACATGTATAACTTCGTTTCTGTTTGAGTTATACATGTATAACTTCATTTTGCTGTTCGAGTTATACATGTATAACTTCATTTCTGTTTGAGTTATACATGTATAACTCGAACCCCGTTTTAGTTATACATTCTTATACATTCTTATGCATTCTTATACATTCTTATACATTTGGTTTTTTTTATATCGTTTTTATAGATGCATTTAGTGAGGACTTGTTGTGATAATCAGGTACATGTGAAACGAGTTGATTTACATTCACAGCTTTGTCATTGTTTGAAGGTATGTTTGAACTTGTGATTGTGAAATGTTGAGCTTGTGATTTGAACTTGGCTTGAAACATTTGTTAAGTCGACATCTATCACGCAAACATTGCTGCATTTCCCCAGCATCGACAACGACATCAAAACTGACTTCACCGTTTGATGTAGTCCAAGTCAACATCTCACTTCTGTTTCTTGTTCTTCTTTTTCTCGGTTTTCTTGTCCATGGTTTGGTCCATGGTTTGGTCGGTCTGCTGGGTGTCAGGGGCAGCATCCTCGAAACGAAAAACCAAATTCGCAATGTTTTGCGAGTTCCAAAAAAAATCGCATTCTAGTAGCAGCATATAACATCTCTCCACGCCAAGCCATTAAAGAAGAGAATAGAAAAAAAAATATATGATTTTTTAACATTGAAAAAGTTAACTTCCCTAAGTTACTTGTAAGTTCTTTTTCGGCTATTTTTTAACATCAATGTAAAAAAACTTAGCAGAACTTAGCAACTTCTTCACGTCCAATAACATACATATAACTCATCCAAATTCAGCTCCCGAACTTACAAAACTTACGACATTTACAAGGCTGTTACACCCAACTTGTAACCCAGCTGCAAGTTACATGCAAGTTCCATTAGCAGAAAGGAACCACCAAGTGTTGGTAACATCTTCCGTTTTTTGGTGAGTTTCCACGTTTTTGTTGCAGAAGTCTAACTTGTCTCTTGTCTCTGGTCAATGTCTGCCTTATTGGTGAGTCTCCCAGTATTTTTTCCCAAAAAACATGTTTACATGATTTATTTTAAAACATCCTTACTCTGGACTCATTCTATGGGTACAACCTGGTACAGCATGTGTGTTTTCCTTACTGCATTCGCAATTTTTGGGGTGGCATTTTACTTGTCCTAGTTTGGTTCTATAACTTTTGTAGAAATCACAGTCCCACTGCTAAAGTCTATATATGTTGTTGTGTAATCCAAATTTCCATTGGCAAAAAGCTTTTTGTAAAATCATTATTTTCATTGAAGAAAACATCAACATATGAAATCTATTGTTTTTGCTTGAACATGAAGTGTCTCCATGGAAATCGCAGTGAAAGCTTGATGTTCCTTCATAATATCACCAGGTGAGTGGCGCGGCAGGCGCTCTGCTACGGCGCCGGGCCGTGCGGGTCTGGAGGCTTAGAGGGTACGTGCCAAAACTGCAGGGATTTGACCACGAAAAATCTTTGGCATCGGGATGTAATGGTTGTTTTGATTGGGATATAGCGGGGATGACCATGATTAATGGGAATGTCATGGGGTATTCAGAAGTTGTTATGTTTTTTTCCGTATGGTGGGTACAATAGATCGGGGATATTTATATATATATACATACGTATATATAATATACGTATTATATATATATGTGTGTTTATTCACTTAGAGATTGTTGCTAGTTGTTACCCTGCATTTCTTGAACTGTTAATTTGGATCATGATGCTAAACAATCAAAATTTGAGATACCGGGATACCGGATTTTCAGACAAAACCACTATTTTTACCATTGTGAACATTCATTTGCCAGCTAGTTTGGTGTGAAGAGAAGGGTATCGGGTTTTGGCACTATGAATACTTACATGTATGCTATATTACGATATATTACGTGTGTTTTTGTTTTTGTTTAAGAAGAACTAATTACGTACATGATTTGGATACAAGATATGAAGCGGAACAGATGAGAAAATATAGTGGGTTCGACCCCATGTAGAGTACAACAATGATGTAAAAGCTATGCTACATGCGATGTATCCAGCAGATTCCCTACGAGCAGGTGTTTTGAAACTGGATGCAGGGATCACATCTGACTAGAATATAGTCGTTATATTGGGTGTTTTAACCAACAAATATATCTGGCAAACACGGATCAACATGGAGATTCCACAACATGATATATGGCTTTATAATATGGTATATATAATAAAATTATATATGATACTTGGTTTATCCTGCGATCTGGTGATATCTGATTCTTGGAAGAAGCAGTTACGAAAATGGGGGGGCATTCATCATCAAATCTTTTGGTTCGGCTGAGAAAGTGTCATTCCCTGTGGCTGCTCTCGAGGAGTTGCTGACTGAGGTTTTTGGGCATTGCAAGCTCGTGGCAGACACCTTGAGCATGCCCTTTCCTGGGTTCTGCTCGCCGGAGTCTGTGCTGCAGCCTTCTTAGCACTGACGACCGTCCTCATGCCTACCGAAACAATGCTGCTCAATGCAATGCCGTGGTCCTTCCTTCTGCACCCCGGTGCGACCCAGACCAGTGGGTTGATGACAACCTATAGTCGCACCTTCTGCCAACTGGAACTCTGGGAGAACGATTTGCAATTGCGACTGGCAAAAGAGCAATCCCGACAGAATGAACAGATGCAAGACCGGCAACCTGCAGCTGGGTTGAAAGGACTATAGTGAGAGAGAGAGAGAGAGATATATATATATTATTTTCTATATATATATATATGCATGGGCATTTTAAATGGCAAGAACAAGTAAAACAAGTACGTAGGCTGCGACTTGGATTATAGCTGATATGGTTAGATCATGCATGTTTTGGGGGTCTTATCCAGCTAGTACCGACATGATTATATGTTTCCCCCCCACCTGTCAGGTGAGGGTTGTTCCTCCTTCCTTCCTCCTTCATCCTTCCGTCCTCCTTCCTCCGCTCCTCGCCGAACCTCAACTGCAAGCTCTAGATCGCAGTGTTCCCCGCCGGACCCCAACAGCAATGTTCCCCGCCAGACCTCCACCGCAAGCTCCGGATCAGAGTGTTCCCCGCCGGGCCTCCACCGCAAGCTCCGGATCAAAGTGTTCCCCGCTGGACTTCAACCGCGAGCTCCGGATCAGAGTGTTCCCCGCCGGACCTCAACCACAAAGAATCCCCCAAGATATGCCAGATAGAATGCCAGAAAAGAATGTCAGAATAGATTCCAGATAGAATGCCAGAAAATAATGTCAAATAGAATGCCAGGTAGAATGCCAGAATAGAATGTCAGAAGATTATACCATGACAAATGAGTGTCAGTGCGGGGTTCACTTGAAGTAAAGTATATAATTATATTATTTTGAACATTTTGTACAACCATACATGCAATATATATATATATATGTATGAAAGTCAACCCACAAAGCATGTTCCGCTTAAACAAGGATTGTCTACGTTTGCTGTTGAAACCAACAAGAAAGGTAGTTCTTTGTTCAAGGGAAAGAGACGGGATGTAAAATGGTTCAACGGTTCAACCAAGAAATATACAGCACAATGGTATTGACCTTGGGTTCTCCACCCACTAACATAGATGGTAGGAATATATCCAGCTTCCACAGTGGAATCCATTGGATGTGAACATGATCTCTTTAATCTATCCGCAGGAATATTGGGATGCAGGTTTGTTTCACACTGAAAGATACACCCACAGCCCATAGCCCATAACCATTATTCGTTGGGAGAACAGATGATAGACCATTGGATCTCGGGGTTCCAGATTTTCAGACAACCCCCAAATGGGACGAACAGCAAGTAGCACCTGAGCATTGGTCCAGCACGGGCCGAATTGGCGGCGACTTCTCCATATATGTTCCCATTGTATTCCCATCATCATCCCAGATATAGGTGTAATCGCCATGGCCATGTTTCCCAGAGTCAATTTTTTTTTTCCTCTCTATATCTCCATTAAGTTTTCATGATATTATATCCTCATAATATGCCCATTTATCTTCTCATTCCCATTATATCTTGCAATAACACTATTTTTGTTGCTTGGATTCCCATCATATTTCCATTACATCCCAATTATATATATATTATATTCCCCTTTAGAAAAAAACACACTTTAAAAAAATCATGAAATTCTATCCTCATTATATCCCATATTAATCCCATTATTCCCATTATATGTCCATGATTTCCCCATGATCTCCTCATTACAAACATCACCGCAACGAGGAAAGGCCCATGCGGCCCTTCCGTTGCAGCTCCTGCGGCCTGGAGCTCAGCCAAAGAGCGAAACCCGTTGGGGAAAGCCCTAGGGGCCGTGGGGAGGGCCCCCGTTTACAGTAGGAAAACCGTCGGAAAACCATCGGAAATTGTTGATTTAACTGCCAACAATTAGGATTTTTTATGGATTGAACCAACCAAAATGGTGACCTAACCAACCAAGTTATAGGGATAACCTATGGGATTTAGAACTGATTTATGAATTCGTAAAAAATGGTGGCCACGTAACATTACGTAACTCCAATTTCACTAAGACTATTACTTCAAACATCTTATAACTAGAGTACTCATGGGGTGAAACTAAACCAACGTTCACATCACTGGAGGCCCACATTGTAGGAAAATGACCCGCAAATTGCTGGGACGTCCACTTAGATGAAACCTTTGAACGTTGACGTACTCCATCATCATTCAATGATGGGCAAAATGACTGACTGACGAATGGTTCTTCTTTATGCGTTCATGTCGAGTTGCTTTGGATCTAGGAATATTTTAATATATTTCACATGTACTACCTGGTTGTACAAACCATTTTTTTGACATGCGCTTCCTCATGGTTATATTTTTGGATCTTTTTGGAGATCACTACCTACATAAAATGTCTACTTGGGCACCAACATGGATATCAAACCGCCTTGAATGGCCCTGCAAAAATTGCAGGAGTTCACCGCCCTTTTTCCTTGTGAGAAAATTGCAAGTTGAGTTTTTGCTGGATAAACAGTCCTTGCTTTGTTTGGCCTTAGTTCCCCCTTGGACGTAGATGATTGATGTCAAAGCACCAAAAGTGAGAGGCAGTGAAATGAAATTGAGATTTTGACTCCAAAACATGGATGTCCGTCCATCAGTCTGTGTGTTCCAGTAAACAAATTTGGCACTACAAAACAACAATTTGGTAGCAACAATATTTGGAAATGGGTAATAATCCATTGCCAGTAGACATGAAACGCAAGAAGGGTCCCCCAGCTATAATGTTTATGGTCAATAACCCCATCCAACTTTAGATCTATCCACCACGAATCCCACTTGGCCTAGTGAGTATCCCAAACTATCCCAGCTGCTATCCACGAAATATCGCCACTTGAGCAGAGTTCAAAACCTCTGTTGGTTGATGATAATACGGGGCTGTACTACCCAATATATCGGGGATAAAATACTAATCCAATAATCCCAAACAAAACCAAGCAGTATAATCTCCGATCGGGGATCCCCCTTGTTTTTTTTATTGTAATTCATCCCCAATTTAATACCCATTCATGTTGGATTGTACCCCATGATATAATGGGTCTCCGTGAACTAGTGGCCCTTCTCCCAGGTGCAGAAGTCTTCGCCACGACGGAAAGTGGGAGTCCAGGAGAAATTTTCCTGGTCACGAAAAAGATGGAGGATCCACCAGTTATAAGTTGGTTTATACAGTTATACAGTTTATAAACCATAGTAACTATGCATGATATATCCAGTTATAAGTTGGTTTATAGATAGACCCCATGAATACTATAGTATACTATAGTTATAAGAGTGATACCAGTGATACCTATAAGTATCACAAACCATACTTATTTTTCGGAGTTATGGTCACCAACTTAGCTATTGTTTGGGGGCCCTAATTTGTAGTGGTGTTGACTGGCTTGGTAATTGGGGAAATGATGGAAAATTCTTTCAGTGTAATGTGAGTCCACAGAGCCATGATTTATTTCGATTATGGGGATGATCCACTCTTTTACAAGGAGCGGCCCCTGCTAGATAGACTTTCAGGTTCGATGTGTTAACCTACAACTATAGCCATACCTGGGAGAAACTTACTGCACAGTCTGTACATATGTATATGATGAAATATTGTTTAAGTATAATAAAAGGTTATATATACGATTAAATGAACAAATATCAATACACAAAGGGTCCCCATCCTTGGCAGCTCGCCAGGAGACGGACCGGATGGCGTGGTCACAAAGGATGGCAGCCCTGTCCCCGAGTGCCATGGTGTATGGCGCTGCCGACCTGCCGACGGCGCGGATGGGAATGGTCATAAAGAAAACCTCCGGTACTCCATGGCAATTCGAATATCCAATGAAAATGGTGACTTTTAATGGGAGCATCTATGAATACATGTTGGATTTTCCATGGCCAGGTTGGATTACGAGTACCCTTTTGTCATTTAACATAGGGAAAATCAGTATTTTGAAAAAGGTAACTCATCCAAGTGAATTTGTATTTTCCATAGCTATGTGGGTAACCATGTGTTGGGGTACCTGCGTACCTAATTTTGACCCAATACCATCCAATACCCACGGGGAATGATGCCCAAAGTTGTTTCAGGTGGGTGAATTACCATGATTTAACTAGAACAATGACATCTTGGGAAAATCATTTGAGCAAAAACAAGCGGCCCCACAACCCACAACGACCTTGCCATCAATCATTCTGGCATGGGAATTGGGGAAAAACATCACTGGTTGGTGTTTTGGAACATGAATTTGATTTTCCATATATTGAGAATAATCATCCCAACTAATATGTTTCAGAGGGGTAGGTCAACCACCAACCAGTCATGGTGGAACAATATCCAGCTAGCTGTTGTGGCATTGTGGATGGGGTCACCAGAGATTTGCCATGGAGAAGTGACGACGACTGTGTGCAGCGCACGAGCCGTGGCGGAGTCATCCCAGTAAGTGGCTAACAGCCCCAGCTATAACTAAACTGACCCTACTTTCCCTACCTTTAACTGGGGTTATAACTTACTAAGTGGGATGAGCCAAGAAGAATGGATTGTAGGATGTTTTAGCTATTCATCCCATCTATCAAAAAGGGGGTGGTGTCATATGTATCATCCAATCTTGGGCCGGAACCCAGGTGCCGCCGCTATCATCCCGGCTTCAAATGGAGCGCCTGCCGGGCCTCAGACTGGGAGAAGTTGAGGGGACAGAAACGGGGTTTTGTTGATGATATGTACATACATAATTATACATATATTATATAACACATTGATTTATTGATTTAATAATATTACTAATAAACATATACAATACTTTGATAAACATAGTAATTCGCAATGATACTATGGTGTGAGGCAGTGACAAACTGTTCTTTTCAAATTTCAAAAAATAAGACGCTGACAGATTCAAGATTCAAGGCTCAGCAGCATTGTCAGCATTGTGGCACCTGTAACGACTGCACTTCGTTTCGGGAACTCTGGGGGCCCAGATGTCGCCACAGATGAAATTCATACTGGCCTAGAAGCCCGCCGGGAGGCGAACATATGACATGGTCTTTTGGGGTGTCAGCAAAGACATTTAATGTGGTTAAAACAATGCCATAAACCACCCCCAAAATCACAATAAATGGGTGGTATAAACCATTCCCATATGGGTGGTTTATTATTGTTTTAATCACATTAATTATTTCCTTTGCTATCCATATTATGGTGCCTCAAGATTGGATATATTGGTGGGTTTGATCCATTGTCTCTGGTGCTCAAAACATCTCGCAGCATTCACGAATTTGACAATTTGACGCGTGCAGATTACTCAAGAAATCGTACAGAGACAGAGTAGTTTTTCAGTAGCTCTTGACACACATTAAAAACAGATGATAGTTATATTTTTCGCCAATTTTGAGATACAGTTTATTTTTCTCTGCGACGTAGGATATGATTGTAATTGTAATTGATATCCTATTTCAGTCCAACACTCCATATCGCAATATTTTTTGTATATCCCAAAATAATGCAAGTACATCACTAGAAGATGCATTCCATTTGTCGCTGTTTCACATGATGCTACCCCTTTGGTCGCGACCATTCACCACGGGTCACCCAAGGTCCAGATCACAACGGCAAGTGTCGGGAGGCCCAAAAGGTCACTTGTTTTTTTCACCAAGAAGGGAGTTTGGTTCATGAAACTGTTGGGTTGTTGGGTTTATAAACCAAACAGGGTGGTATAAACCATTCCCAAAATGCCATAATATGTCCTGTTTGGTTCACGAGACTGTTGGTTGGGTTGTTGCTTTTTGCTTCGTTCCGTTTGTTGATTTCACACATGTTCCGTTTGTGGCCACGGGTGATGGTCCAGGTACACCCATCTACCACGTTGGGCTCCAATTTTGGAACCTCGAATTCCACGGAGCAATCCCCCCGAGACAACCCCTAAAAATAGATATTGTTGATTATGCGTAAATAAGTATATTATAGAGTATATACCTGCAAACTCCTCTAGGCAAGGCAGAAAAAAGTGCCTAACCTGCCTGTAGGCGTTTATTTCTGCCGATTCCCAGAATAAATGCCTAGGCCCCAAAAAAATGCCGAGGCTGATAATTTTTGTTGTATGGTCTTGTCATGTTGTTCAGTGCAGAAAAATGGTTCGAACAAAATTCCGCCTAATTCCGCTTTTTTCCGCCTAGATTCCGGGTTTTTCCGCCTAGATTCCGGGTTTTTCCGCCTAACTTCCGGGTAAAAATGCCTAGGCACAAAATGATGTCGGAGCACAAAAAACATCTTGAGATAAAAATGCCTACATCAATATGAATCTGCCGAGTTTTGCAAACTTCCGGGTGAAAGTGCCTATGCGGCTGCCTAGGCGCCGAGGGCAGAAAAAAGTGCCTAAGGGTTCTTCTAGGTATATATATATATATGTATATATATATATATATTTCTATAGATCATAGATCCCACTATATCCTTTTTGAAAGTTGTCGGTCTCAGGTCCCACCTGCAAGAGATGCAGTGCACGATGGTCCTGCTGTCGGGATCCCACCTGTGCGGGATGTTTGAGGTGGACAAGCCAAGGGAAATCTTGGGACAATCACGGAGAATCATGGATCATCTTTGATAATCCTGGATAACTAATAGTCAATAATGAACACATGTCACCCCCTTTTTTTGGGGGTAAACGGGTAGTTGGTTTGCAGGGTAGTTCATGATGATAGTATTCATGATGATAGTATCTTAGGGTAGTTTAAGGGGCTAACTTGCTGAGGGCCTTCTTGTTTAAATCTTTACCTGGGAAAAGCCAATGGAAACCCCAAGGAATCTGAACAAATATCTCGGCACATGCGTGGGTTCTTGATAGGAATTTATGGATATTTGCAGGTTTCTATTCTTTGGATGGATAAACCAGTAGGTGCCTCCCACTGATTTGTTTTGAAAAAGGCATTTGAGATCAAGGACAGCAGCATGCCCACACGCAAAAGGAAAGGGGTGGCTGGCATAAGTTTAAGTAGGAATTGTTGAAAGGAATTGCTGCTGAGTGCTTTCTGGCTGCCCTCACCATTTAGGGGATTCTGGTGGGATTTATTTAGGTTTGTGTGTGATTTTGTTAGGTTTTTTTGGGGTTTGCTGAGGTTTTATTGGGATCTGTCTGGTGGTTGGCCCATTTTTTGGATTTGGGTTGTTTTTTTTTAGGTTTTATGGGGGGATTTTGTTGGGCCCCTATTGGTTTAAACTGCTTGGGTTTGCTTCGGTTTGGCCCATTTTTGGGATTGTGGTGGGATTTGTTTAGGTTGTTGTGGGGGTTGTTTAGCATTTAGTGGGATCTGTTTAGGTTTCGGTGTTGCTGGCAATTGTTGGCATGATGGATTTGGCTACTGATTGTGAGTGAAGGGCCATAGATTTTGGGAATGGCAAAGGACAAAGACACAAATGCTTTTGAATGTGCTAAATTTGATTGTGTCAGGGGTTTCCTGGGATCCTGGGAACCTTTCGTGATTGAGTGGGTTTGAATGGGGTTCAGTAGGGATCCATGGTGTTCCTGTAGGGTTTCTCTATGTTTCCGTGGTGTTTTCAGGGGTTTTTGTGGGAAACCCATGAGCCTAAGAAAATCAATAATCAAGATCTTTAACAGATTAGCCCCATAAACCACTGTATGATAGTAGGTTTGATCCATTTGAAAAAATGATCACTGCACGGTCCGGGCATGCAAAAGGGCGGGTTTTTGATACGAAACAAGACCCAGCAAAATACAATACTTTTGGCTTAATTTGATAATTTGGCATGGGTTACCATCTAGTCCTTTGCATCTCATTGGGAAAAGCAAAGAAGCGACTTTTTGGTGGTTAGAACCCTACAATCATGAGGGCAGAATCAGCCAAGCCATGTCCAAACCAATGAATGACGGTACGGGTAAACCGATTGGTGAATGGTAGGGACTAAGAGAACACTTTTTGATGTCCTACTAAGTTTCTTTTCCCCACAAGGGAAGTTGTTGCAATGTTTGGGGATGTGAAACGACAAAAGTGTAAATGCCTCTCCAAGGGACAGGCAACATGACAATCCTAAAACAAGCGGAACATATCATAAATTGCCATCATTTAATCATATAGTATATGGAAGTATTAAGGATTGTTGTTTCTCTTCTACGATTTGGTCCTTTTTTGTGCTTGTTGGCTCTATTGACTCTATGTGCAGCGGTGAATTTTCAAGATCCCCAGAGGAACATCTGCAACTGGGGATCTCCATGGACCCAAGTAGTTGCTATCCATAGAAGTCATACCCGGAAATGTTTCATGATATGATATTTCCATATATTTCCTGACAAGCAATGGCTGGATCCAATTCTTTCTTTCAAGGCACCTTTTTTGGCACCCATCCAAATGGGTCTAGAAGGCTACCCCCAATTCAAACGGAGTCCCAGGTCAGAACCTGGAAAACTCTATTGGTTGCCGGCGGCGCGTGCACGAATGGCATGAGGCGGAGATGCCACGGACTCGTCACTCCAAAAAGTGGTCGTTGGCAATGGGAAATCTCCATTTCTGCTGGGAAAGGATGCGGAACTGCAATGAAACTGTAAGTGATGATTTTGTCTCTATGTCCAACTAATATATATAACTATATATATTTATGATTATTTATGTGTATAATATAAATATTGATATGGGTGTCTCTGAAAATTGTGGGTTGTTTATGGGAGACAATGGGAGCCATGACCAACAACGTCACATTTGGATGTGTCTGAAACTTGGGGGGAAGCACAATTTCTTATTTGGAAAATCTATGGTCAAACAGCAGCCATTTTCAGACCAACTCGGATAGATAAGTTCCAGACTGTGTTCCCTTCAATCTAAATATCTATCTGGCTACGACCCAGCTGGATCAGCCAAATCGGAGGACTTGCGACTTATGCCCAAATCTGTGGAGAAGACATACCTGAAACTGCCGGAGAAAATGTGGAACAGCTGTTTGAAAGGGTACAGCAGTTCTGTTGAGTTGCTATCATGAATACCAATACGTCATGCATGTAAAGATCAAGTTACAACAGATGAAGAGAATACATTACTCGCTATTCGTCCCAAACGTGCCCCAGTAATGCCTTTAAAATTTGATGTCATGGAACATTCGGTCCTTGGTGCACAATGTCGAGAGCATTGGCTAGGCATGACCACTTTCATCCATGTTCGGAGCATCTTCTTACTGGCAAATCCTGTAATAATATGTAGTGGTTGGTGGTTTGGAACATTTTTCCATATATTGGGAATAGTAATCCCAACTGACTAATATTTTTGCAGAGGTGTTGAAACCACCAACCATATCAGTTTGTCCGGTGAATGTAACTTACGCATTTTATCCCTGCAGCAAACATCTCCATGATTCCACGGTTTTAGTATCTTGAAACACACCACTGAAACTGTATATAAGTCTTTGGTCCAACAACAGCTATGTATCTATTTATACTATATTTGCATATACACGTGTAAATATACATATACATATACGTATACGTATACGTATACATATACATATACCAGTACATATACATATATATATATGATATAGATGAAATTGGATAGTAAACATAATTGTATACTCGTTACCTACTGGCTGTGTATATTCACACCTTAGTGTTGTGTTTTGTTCCCCACCTGCCAGGTGAGGGTCTCTAGATTTTATCAGAGGTACATCCTGCCCTCCTCCTTCTCCCCCTCCAGCTCCTCAACCCCGAGTGGGCACTGCCGGACCTCAACCGTGAGCTCCAGACAGCAGTGGGGGCAGTGCCGCACCTCAATTCACTGCCGGACCTCAACCGCGAGCTCCAGACAGACAGCAGTGGGCATTGCCAGACCCTAACTGCGGCCGGACCTCAGCCAGATGCCAGAGAGAATGTCAGATAGAAAGCCAGAAAGAATGTCAGAACAGGTGCGAGATAGGATGCCAGAAAGAATGTCAGAGAGAATGTAAGATTTTTTTTTAAATACACTTTGATATTTCTTGGCCACTCATGTTTACTTCTTGATACAGATACCATATGCTCCTCAACCATCATCAAACTCATTTGAAGTCGTACCATAAACATGTTTTATCACCATTACACCATTGACAACTAGACCCTTGATGTATAGGTTTATGTTTATATATTATATTTATAGTTATGTATATATATATGTGCAAATAACTGTTAACATATACCTAGACCCTCAATTGAAATAAGCAACATGTATTTGCAATCTTATTTCAATACGTTGACACATTTACAGTATTGTTGGGTCAACTGGGGGTCAAGGCATATACCAGACAAATCCACCATAAGATTTAGGAAGAATCAAAACTACTAGATGATTGCTGCTGTTTGCCTTTGCTTCCCTCTATTCTACTACCAACATATGTCTCACATGTCGCTCAAACGACCCCCGTCCAGGCCCATGAAAGCCGACCACGATGGCAGCGGTCCAAACGCGCGCGCCGGGGGCCCTGGGGCCCCTGGGAACTTGAATCACCGCACCGGGGTGGAAAACAACGATGTGTTGGATTTCCCAAACATCATCCCAAACAAAGACGTGTTGATTTAGCATGATTTAGCCATATCATTGCCTGGTAAGAATAGCATCAACAAGCCACAGGAGGAAACATGATACCTATATGGATGTAATGCAGATCGGCCTTGGTTCTCCCTCGAATCAGCGGCTTCCCCTACTCGGTCCTTGGTGCACAATGTCGAGAGCATTGGCTAGGCATGATCACGTTCATCCATGTTCGGAGCATCTTCTTACTGGCAAATCCTGTAATAATATGTAGTGGTTGGTGGTTTGGAACATTTTTCCATATATTGGGAATAATAATCCCAACTGACTAATATTTTTCAGAAGGGTTGAAACCACCAACCAGAATAATATGTTCGATGAATCCCCAATACGCAATATCTATATATGTTTGTCAATTGTCATGTTGATCGCGAAGATGTGGGGAATATGTACCTATTGCGGAGGTATTGAACACTTCATTTTTGTGGTTTGATAATCAATGGTTAACCCTCCTATGTTAGGTGATGAAAGATGATGAAAGGTGATGAAAGGTGATGATTATGGAGGACAGGCAAGGAAGCATGTTCTATATGTTTTTGTTTCTATTTTACTTGGTTGGTAAAACTATAGTAGGCGACAGAACTCTGGTAAACTGTTGGTTAGTGGACTTATAACGGGGTTGTAAGTTGTTGTAACCCTCCTTACTAAGTGGAGTGAACCATTTGGCAATTTGATTCAACCAGTCTATTTGAACCATGTTGAAGCTGACTTAGCAGCAATGCTTTGAATAATGTTGGGAACTATTGCGGAGAGTAGCGCCAGAAGGGAATTCGACTTTGTGATGGTACAAGTTGGGATTTTTCACAGGTGATTCCTGAAATGTCCTGTTCCAAATGGCTGGTAGATGTATGGTTCCCTTACATGTTCATCGTTCTTTCCAGGTTCCATGTATGGCTGCACGCAAATCCACATCCTTGAATCAGTTCAAATGTTACCATCTTTCCAGTTTCATATCATTCGATATTGTATGATATTGTGCCATAGGTTGCAATCGTATCAGCCACACTCTGAAAGAGCTGCTGTGTTTATCATCAACATATCTTAATTGATATCCTTATGATACACGTTGACGACACTTTACCATGGCCCCCTGGATAGTTTATACCTACAATAAGCTGAATTTATGGAATATATATATATATATATATACACTTGAAATCAATTGAATGTTTATACAGCAACTTATGGCTGATTAATTTGGGGGGGCTCTTTCTGGGCTCCTACCTCTGTTCGCGTATCTTCAATGTGCCCCCCCCCCAGTGGTAAGTGTTGGTATCATACTTATAAGTTACAGGTATCATAAACCATACTTCTTGTTTTTATAACCCAACTTACCTATCTCCACGTGTCTGTGCAAAAGCCTGTCCCCAAGCTTGAGGTCTGAAGTGATGCAGAGCGGTCAAAAGACCATGCTAGCAGGGAAGCGATGCAAACAAACATAGGGATTCAATCTATACCCAGTAAGTGGTTAGTAACTGGTGTTATTTTAGTCACTGACATCGTTTTAGATGTTGGGTCTGGTACAGTTTAGATCAGCTACCTTTTGAAGGAAAACCTAATTTGCTCAATTTTGCTCATTGCTATATATGTTTTTTTGACCGGATGTCTAGCGTTAGCTCTGGAGAATTATCAATATTGATCATTTTTAATTTATGTGTTGCATTGGGATTGTGTTGGTTGGTCTGCTGGGGTTTGTTTTTTGGTTGCGGCAGTCTTCCTCGCTGATGCTGCGACATGCTGTCTTCTACTGTTGGTTAGCACCGTCCAGGATTTGACTTGGTAATTGGCTGGTCTTTCTGTAGCGGAACATAGATGTAATGACTAGCGTAAATGTGGAACATGGCCCATATATGGATGAATTAGCTATTGAAATGATGAAATAATTAAATAATCTTCCAACATGTATGTTCGTTTGCGCAAGGGTACAACCCATGTATACATCGGATAATCCACGAAGCGGGGATTACGATCACCAGGGTTATGAACCACTAGTGGAATGATCATCCAAGTACCCCACAGTTTTAGAAATTTCATCCAGAAAAAACTATATATAGATAGTTTTGTTCAAACAAACATGGAATCCAACATTATTATGCATTATTGGACATTTGTAGCGAATGAGACATGGTAGGCAATGTGGATTCGTTCATTGCCAATCTCTTCAAGTAAACAAACGATGTAATTTAGCATGGCTGGAACATATTTAACCATGTTAAATTACCAGAGGGTAAACCCCTTCAAAAGGTCACCCAGCAACACAGCATGTCTTAGCTCAAGGGTTCCCCAAAAAAAAGTAAAGCAAAGAATTACTTTACATGATTTGTGTCAATAGAAATCCATGGTTCCAAGAATATCAGTATTTTTACCATGTCCAATAATTTGGAATAGTTCCAGATTTCTTCATGATAGTATTTATGTTTCCGGATTCTGTGTCGTGTTTTGAGATTTGCTTCGCCATACATCATGACCGGTGCCATTGTGAAAACCGGCCTGCCACAACAGCATGGCTGTGGCTGGCGCGAATCGGGCGCTGTGTGCGCATTCCTTCGAAGAAAATGGTGCGAGCTCAATTCCATCAAACCAAGTTGCAACAATTTGATGCAATTCATTCTTTATTGTCTATATATATATATATAGATAGACTCATGACCAGTTCCAATGAATATTTCTCCAGAACTGCATGATTTTCCCGCAATCTCGAAGTGTCATCCAGGAATTGAATTCCACCCGGCCAGGAGTGATTTGTTTCTTCAGTTCGCTTTGCTGTGTTGGTGGGGTATAAGAAAAATCGATGTTGGGGCTACAGTCTCAGATAGAATCGGTGAAAGGATCCGGTGAATTACAGTAGGTCAAACAGCTACGCTAGATCTTTCGGAGTCCGGAATTCAGATTTGGTGTGTTTGGCCAACATATGCTTTCGAACTTTGGGTTGTTCATGGACAAACAGAGTCCGCCTGGCAAGTCCAATGGCCTCACTAAAAACTAGTCCAAAATCTGGTGGATACTGGCTTACTAATCCCCTCCAGTGGGGTTAACTCGGGTTATACATCCACTGTCACATCACTGGGTCACAATATGTCACAATGACCAGCAGTTAGTCACTCAAATGGACATCCAACTTGTGCGAAACTTCATGTCAATTCCAATCGCTGGAAGGGTTTTCCATTGTTTTCCCATGTTGTCCCATGAGTTGGAAGTATGTTGATGAACCAACCATTCCTTAAGCTAGGACTGGATGCGGAACAAATAGACTTGATCGCCAGGCCGGAATCCAGAAAGTGCCTAACGAAGAGTATTTCGTCTGGATGCTCAGACAGTCGAGCAGACGGTGCATGACGGTGCCTGTGGCGTCATGGTTTGTGGATGTTTCCCATTGTGTACCCCTCAAAACCATCAGTTAATCATCATTTCCCGTTGCCTCAGATTTCTTGATGTTTTAATATTGATATATGATACCCAGTGATATTTGTGGATGCTTTATTGATACTCATTGGATGATACCATTGTTTTGTGATACCCCATGATACCCGATGCCATACCCGACGCCGTTGTTCAGATTCGCCACGTGCAGGCGGGCAAATGGATTGTTCACCTGGACTGCTTCGCTTGGGTGCAGCGAGATTCGTGCGCCACTGGGGCTCCTGCCACACGCTAGGGGCCGTGTGTACCCGATTTTGTTGTTGGGTTTGAACCCAATGTAGAAAAATGAAAAAAAACTTTGGTAGCTATCTGGGTTGTGCCCACTTAATTCTTACAGTATCTTCATATATATATATATATATATATGCACACTATATATATATATATATGTATATATATATATATATCAAACAAATTTTGCGGGGCCAATGCTTGCAGAATCATCCCAAGAATCCTTAGATAGCCGATTTTCATGAGTAAGTTCCCTATTCTTCGTGTGTGTGTGTGTGTGTCGCGTCTACAAGTCAGCGGCCCACCACTATGGTGGTCAGTGAAGCTTTCATAACATCGCTGTTTTAGTTGGTTCACTCATCATGCATATCCATAAATATTAAGAACGACAACAATTAAACAAAATACGTCAATATGTGTATATATATATAATTTAATGCTATATATATATATATTTTGATTTAATACAATATATATTATGATAGAATATTATATGATATGATTTAACACAATACAATATAATACAATGTAATGTAATATAATATAATATTATTTGATTTAATATAATAAATAATACATGTAGATATATGTATGTTTACATATATGTATACATATATATATATATACATAAATGTATAATAAACATATATATTATGCTAATGTTATAAAAATGATACTACTAAAAATAATAATCATAATCATAATCATGATCATAATCATAATCATACTACTACTACTACTGCTGCTACTACTACTACTGCTGCTACTACTACTACTACTGCTACTACTACTACCACTACCACTACCACTACCACTACTACTATTTCTACTACTACTACTACCACTACCACTACTACTACTACTACTACTAATCCTACTAATCCTACCACTACTACTACCACTACTACTACTACTACCACTACTACTGCTACTACTGCTACTACTCCTACTCCTACTACTACTACTACTACTAATACTACTAATACTACCACTACTACTACCACTACTACTACTACTACCACTACTACTGCTACTACTGCTACTACTCCTACTACTACTACTACTACTATTTATATTTCTACGACTACTATTTCTATTTCTACGACTACTATTTCTATTTCTACTACTACTCCTCCTACTACTGCTACTACTACTGCTTCTACTTCTACTTCTACTTCTACTGCTACTACTACTGCTACTACTACTACTACTACTACTACTACTCTTAATAGTAATATTAGTATATATCCATAATAAATGTGCATAAGTATCCATAAATCACCATAAAATGAATCTTAGCAGCCTTAGCAGCTGGGAGGTACCTGCCATGTGGAGCACGAGGTCTTAAGGCCGTGACGCATCTCGGCCGAGTTCATGGCAGGGCACTGAAGCATTTCACTGGGGTTGTCCAAGAGCAAAATGAGGGTTGAAGCACCAAAAAAATGTGATTTTAGTGGAAAATTACTGGGATTTTAATGTATTTTAATTAATGATATTAATGGGATTTTAAGGGGATATACGAGGATTTCATGGTGATTTATGGGGATTCATGGGTATATTTTGTTATTGACTGTTATTGTTTGAATTTACGCAAGGTTTGTTGTTCAGTGGAGGAGGATTCACGAGGTCACCCAGCGCGGCGAGTTTAAACTCTCTACCCCCTCCCCAACAGCAGGGAAAAAACAGGTATGTTTGTTGAGGTTAGAGAAGGTAAGTTTGTCAGTCATGGATGCAACAAATCAATACAAAACAGGATTTAAAAAATGTTGACATGCGTTTGTTTGAAAAGGAAACACCAAAACGGCAAGTTTCATGCTGAATTTGGTGATGCACGATTTCCAACAATGAGGTCCACCGCCAAAACAAGTAATATCAACTGGAAATTAGATATGCTAGAGTAACTATGTTTGATCGAAACGAATGTCTCAGGATTGCCCCATTTCTGGGCAACTCATAACCTTGAGCACAATCATCTTAGTTTTGGGTTCAACCATTTCCTTTCCGTCCTATTTGGGATGATTCTCCAAATTGATGAAATGTTTAAGTATGTTTGAGACAAGTGTCAACCACCAACTCGCCAAATGTGGCAATGGAAAACCAAACATTACTGTAACATCTATAGTTGTTTTTCCCCACAGAAATTGACATGGGATATCAATATCAATTACATTTACATGCGCTGATTTCAGAACTACTGTACAAAATACCACAACACAATGATGGTTTTCACTACCACTTGGCCGATTTGGGAGGTTAAAAATTCAGGAAAACCTACATGTTATGGCCTGAAAAAAACATGTTCCCATGATTGGATGGCCCTGGAAATTGCAACTGGGCGCCATAAATCTATAACTTGAGAAACCTGATAAATAAACTGGATGTAACTGGATGTAGCTGTTATATGCCCAAATTATGGAATGTATAATCCCATTTATAGCCAGTTATAGCCATTTATAACTGGTAAATGGCCTTAAGTGTGAGTTTCGAACCATGCACCATCACTTGATGTGTTTCGCAAAAGCGATTCCGGCTCAGGCGCTATAAGTTGAAGTATGATCCAGTGGAGCTTGACCCGGAGGTTTGTTGCCATTGAGTGGTTGTGGGTTTGCTGGGGCCCTCAAAAAAATATGTATCTATAAGCAAACACCATCAACATGGTGTTCTTTTAAGTTCTTTTACATATGTGGCCACCACCATTGACCGCGAGCTTTACAATGGTTGTGGCTGTTGCTGTTTTT